AGACACCCATGGACAGGAAGGGGGCCTGCAGGGGTCATAAAGGAGAGGATTTTCACTCCAGGTCTTGGCCAAGGGAGAAGAGTGAATGCTGCCCACTCCACCCCACCCCTGCAGAGTGACCCAGGATCTGGATGGGAGGTCCCCAGGAAGGCAGAGCCTGACCCAACAGCAACACCCTGGCTCACAAATGCAGCCCTCCAGAGTCCACAAGACCATGTCACTTGAATTACAGAGGCTTAATTAACAAAAAGACCTGATATGCCACTCATGAGAAATCCAAATGGGGCCTGTGCCCGACCTCACTGTCTACTTGCTCCTGAAAGTGTCCCAAGACCAAGAATAAAAGAGGTCTCTCCTCTCTTTTCTACCCCACACCCACCCTAATAAGCCCCAGGAAAGCCCCCAGACATTTTATATGACCCCAGGCAACACCATGTGATACTGACATCTTGACCACAGGGATTCTTCTAAGCTAATTTAGACTAAGGTGTAATGAGCTGAAAGCTTGTCATGAAGGACCTTCGCTTTCAAACTGGATCAGGTCGTAAGTTACCACAAGGTCAGAAGGGAAGGTGGTACTCAGGTTCAGGACCTGCCCCTGCCTGGGGTGTGGCTACTGGGGTTTCTTAACCTCCTTGCCTTAGTTTTCTAGTCTGACAGCAATAATCACAGCACCTACCTTTGGGCTGCTGTGAGAATATCACAAGTTAAGAGTGTAGCACCCCCTCAGCTCAGTGACAAGCACACAGTAGGTAACTCAGAAATGGTGACCTGTGGTGATAATTTGGAGAATACCAGGAAGTACTGAGGTATTTAACAGAAGGTCACGGCATGTATTACGCCGCCATAGTAAGTCAGAGGCCCTTTCCCGCCCAGACCAGTGGCCGCAGGTGCCAAAGGTTTACACAAAAGCCCTGGGGAGAAAGACTTAAGATTGTGAAAATGCTTTCCACTAAATGAATGCTGTCTGCAAACTGGGAAAAGACCACCATTAGTCAATCTGGCCGGTGGAACACCTGGGGTCCAGCTCCAGGAAGCCCAGGGTGGAGAGTGGAGTTTGGCAATGTCAGAGGCTCCCCTGAGGAAGGGGGCTCTAATGGTGGGATTCCTGGCATGTGACGAGAGCCCTGGACAAGTCACAGGGGAGCTAAAGACCTGTGCTCCAGTCCCAGCTCCCTGCCAGTGGAAACTGCTCTCCCTCAAAGGCCTCAGTTTTCCCACCTGGAAGATGGCACAGTTGGGCTGAGAACATCTTTCTCTCTGGAGTTTCTCTGGTCCTAGGAAGTGATAGTTGGCCCAACCATAGCCTGTGGCCTTCACAGGCCCTGGGGACAGCCCTACTCTGGGTGGCTGGGGAAAAGGAACAGGTTTGGTTCACTTCTCAGCAGGCAGTGGGGGACGGAATTGAAAGTCTTTTCTCTGAGCCATTGGCTTCCCCTGCTTGGCAGCCCACGGTGGCCAGCAGGCTAAACACCAGAAATAATCAATCCTAACAGGCCCTCGCCCAGCCAGGAGGCCCGGCTGGCTCTTGTCATAAAAAGATCTTATCCCCACGAGCACCCTGTGGAGGACTCCGCCCTCCTCCTCTCAGTCTTGTGCCTCCACCTTCTACTTCCTGTGACAACCTGCAAACTGAAGACCAACTTGCCTCCCCCCACACTCAGGCCTCTCCCCACCTACCCAGGCCACCCCGCCCCACCCCCATGTGGGCCCCAGCTGCAGGAGGCCCTGTGGAGTGTAATTCCCTGTGCCCTCCTCTCGGCCCTGGGCCCGTCCGGACAGATTAAGCCTTTGTCACACACACCCAGAAAAGCTCAGGGCCAGATGGGACAGGACAAGTGGTGTCAGATCATCGACCCGCAGCCGGCCAGGACTAGGAAGGGCCCTGACCACAGCACCGCATATGGCTGTTGGGGGAGGACAGGGGGCCCAGGGTGGGGGCAGGAAGAGAGATGACACACCACACCATGGTCACCCTTGGGACCAATGCCAGGAGGGGGCCCATTGCTGCTCAATGACCCAGCTCCCATATCCCCTCTTCCCTGATATTTTCCTGCCTGTTGGTCCTCTGTCCAAGCCTCTTGGGGCTTCTTTATCACTTCCCCAGCTATGCTCACCTCCCTCACCTTCTGAGTACCTGAGGCCCACCAGTTCCAATCACCCAGTGCTCACCACGAGGCCTGGAAGTATGAAATAAATGCCTGGGACAAGGGTTTATGGCCCAATGACCTTCAGAAAAACCCACCCAGGACAAAACTGCAGGATCTCTCCCAACTGGCACCAGCAGCAATGACAACTTTAATTTGTGTGTGTGTGTGTGTGTATGTGCAGGCCAGTGAAGGAAGGGGATGTCCTTTTCACCTTTCAAAGAAGGTCCCATTCAGTCCCCTCCATGGAGAGGCCATGGTTGCCCAAGAATTCCCAGTAGGATTTGCTCCTCTTCAATCAGTGAAAAGGAAAATGGAAATAATAAAAATAATGACTGAGCCCCAGGAAGGTACTTGTAGATGGGGGTGGCAAAACTCGGGGCATCTCCAATGGCTCCGGTTGGCTGGGTGAGTGGCAGGTAACTAACAGGCTCTCTGGGGACCAGCAGGCCAGGCAGGTGGGTGTACGCAGCTTGCGGGGGGGGGGCTGTCGAAGAAGGGCATGTCTGTTTTGTTTGTCGTCCTCCTGGCAGCCTGGGCTGGGAGGCCTGGGTCCCCTTTCTCTGCCTGCCAGGCAGGTGGTTCCTGCGGGAGGGTTTATTATTGGTCTGAGAGGCAGTGTGGAGGTCTGTGATGTTCCTGCTGCCAGAGGCTGGCCGGGTGGGTCAATGTGGGCCTTAAGCAGGATCTGAAGCAACCAGCTGGGCTGGCAGAACCTGGAGCCCAGGCCCAGCACCCAGTTTCTGCATGTGGCCCAGATGGGGGAGGGAGTGAGGGACTCTGCCTTGACAGCTGTGGGGAGGAAGGGATGGACAGACTGCTTCTGATGCCCACTCCCCAGGGAAGAAGTTGACCCACACAGAGAACCAGTAATCAGCTGCCAGGGGTGTTCTGGGGGCTCCTTCCTCGGACCCAGGAGGCTGGACCGACTCTGAGCTCCTCAGGAGGGATAACCAGGATCAGGGGTAGGGTGGGGGACAGTCTGGGGAAGCCCTGAAGGGAAAGGGCACTGACCTAGGGTATCCGACAGACCCAGCCAACCATCTGGTAGGTCACTGACCCAGAAAAAGCCACCTTGGGCAAGGGGCGCTGACCTAAGACAGGGAGAACCCAGGTGGGTACCAAACTGGCAGGGTGGAGGGGGCTGACCTGAGCTGGAAGAGGCGATGACCCATACTCCCCATTTGGGAAAGTGGCTCCTATTCGGGATGGGGGAGGGGTCCCCGACTCTATCAGGGGGACAATGACCCAGGCCTCCTGGGTTTGGGGGAGAGTACTGATTTCGGGTAGGGGGAGAGGATCTCCGACTCGCGCAGTGGGACATTGCCTCAGCCTCCCGCTCCGGGAAGCCGCCGGAGGGCGCGCCCCTCGGCCCTGCCCCCTGTTCCCGTCCGGCCGGAGGCGGCAGCGGCGCAGATGGGCTGCTGGCGGCCGCAGCGGCAGCGGCGTGGTTATCAGCGCTCCTCGCAGATGGGCCGCCCGCCCTCGGCGCTCGCTCGAGGCGCCCCGCTCCCCGCGGCCTGCAGCCCCGTCCCCTGGGCGCGGGGGGAGGCGCCTCCGGATCCGCGCCCCGGCTCCCGCCTCCCTCCCTCCCGGCCCCCTCGCCCGGCGGGCCGGGCCTGGGCGGCCGCCGGAGGGGGAGGGGGAGGGGACAAGTGCACTTTTCGTAACGACCGAATCAATTGTGTGTGAAGAGCCCGCTCCGGCCGGGGACGGGGCTGGGGACGGGGCTGTGCGCGGGGCGGGCGGGCCGGACAGGGGAGGAGGGCGGAGGGGGGAGCGGGGGAGTGCGGAGGGAGGGAGGCCGGCGCGGGGCCGCCCCGCTCTCGCGCTCCGGCCGGGCGAGGCCAGGGAGGAAGGGGGGCTGCGGGGGGGCTGGCCGCGCCGCGCCGGGCCGGGGGCGGAACGCACTAATGGAGGGTCTCGGCGAGGGAAAGTTCAAAGCTCAGCAGCGCCCCGGGAGCGGCCGCCCCCCCAGCCCCCACCCTCTGCAGAACAATGAGGTCCCGGCGGGGGAGCCGCGGGGCCCGCGCCGCACGCCCTCTCCAGGGCGCCCCGGGCCGGAGGGGACGCCCCCGCCCGGCCGCCGGCCTCCTCGGCGGCTGCGGTTCCCTGTCCCCTCCCCCACGCCACCCCGCCCGGACCGGGCCGACCCGGGAACGGGGGAGGGGAGGGGATGGATAGGTCAGGCCGCCCCCGTCCCACGGAGGGGGGAGCGCGGGGCCCGGGGGGCGCAGGGCGCGCCCCACCCACCGGCGGGAGGCTGCTCCTGCGCCAGGCTGCGGCTCCGGCCACCCCTCCCCGGGCCAGCGCCGGGTGGGGTCGGGGCGACAGTGCCCCGGCTGCCTCCTCCCCTGGCGCTGGGAGGCCCCGCGGACTCCTCGTCCCGGGGCTGCCCCTGCCTCCCCACCCTCGCCGCACCACACACACACACACACACACACACACACACACACACACACACACGCCGCCCAGCCGGCCCGGGGGCGGGAGCGCGAGGCGCCCGGGACAGGCAGCCCCGGGGCGGGCGGAGGGAGGCTCGGGCTTCGGAGCAGCCGCCTGCTGGCGGGGGGAGGGGACGGGAGGACAGAACATGCTGGGGTGAGGAGCCCGGGACGGCCCGCCCGCACAGCCGAGGTCCGGGCAGCGGCGCAGAGGGGGCAGGGACACCCCAAACCCGGAGCGCTGCCTAACCGGGCGAGCGAGCAGAGACGCGTGCGCCCCGGGTGGACCAGACACACGGACAGCCCCGGGAACACGCGTGCGAACACACACCCACACCCACCCCGCCCCCGCCCTCCCGCCCGGAGCCCCGCCGCGGGACCGGCCCGCGCCCGCCGCGCGCGCACTCACCGAGCCCGTCTTGACCGGCACATACACCACTTGGCCCATCTTGGGTTCCCGGCCGCTGCCCAGGCGGAAGCCCTTGGAGCGCACCCAGAACTGGAACTTGCCTTTCTCGCCGGCCGCGGGGCCGCTGCCCGAGCCAGTCCCGCCGCCGCCCTGCAGGACCTCAGCGATCCTCTGGTATTTGCTGCGTGTCACCGTCTTGGTTTTGGCCGAGTCGCCGTAGGTGCGCAGGCACCAGTCCCGGAACTGGCGGCCCAGCTCCGAGTCCCCGGGGTTGCGCTCGCGCTCCCAGCCCCCGCGCAGCAGAAGCGTCGGCTTCGGCATCCTCCCGCCGCGCCCGGCGCCCTCGGGGGCGGCCCGGCCACCGGGCCGCCCGGTGGGGGACGGAGCCGGGCCGGGGCGCGCTGGCCCTGGGCTGTCCCGCGGGGTCGCTCCGGCGCGGCGGCTCGATGGGCACGGGCGGCGGCCGGACGCGCGGGGCTGCGGCGCGCTCTGTCCTGCTCGGGCGGCGGCGGCGCAGCGTTGGCGGCGGCGGCTCCGGCTCTCCTCCTGCTCCGCCTCCTCCTCCCCCCGGCCGGGATGCAGGAGCGATGGAGGCCGCTCCGGGCCCGGAGGTGCAGAGGGGGCGGGCCGCCCCGCGGGCGGCCGGGGGAGGCGGGAGGCGGGGAGCGGCCCCGGGCGCGGGGAGCGAGACTGAGCCTGGGCGCAGGCAGCAGCGGTGGCTGTCAGCTTGCGCGGCTCATCCTGCTCCAGCTCGGGCTCCCGCTGTCGCTGCTCTTCCTCCTCCTCCACCTCCTCCTCTTCCTCCTCCTCCTCCTCCTCCTCTTCCTCCTCCTCTTCTCCTCCTCCTCCTCCTCCCGCGCCCGCCTCCACTGCGCCGCGGGATCCCACCTGTTAGAGCGGTGCAGCCTTCGCCGCCGCCCTCCCCCCTCCTCCAGCGCCCGCGCGCCTGGCCCTTGGGGGCGTGGGGGCCGCCGCACCCGCATCCGCGCAGTGCCCAGCCCAGGGACCACGGACCATCTGGCCTGCCGGACCTGAAGCCTCGCAGGCCGCGCTGCGTCCAGACTCAGCAGTCTAACGGGGAGGAAGGTGTAGACCCGGGCCCAGCAACCGGCGTCGCGGCCTCCCGGCGCCGCCCCTCCCGACTAAGCCCGGCCTGGCAGTGTAGGGCAGGCTCCCCCACTGTGAAACTGGCCAGACCTCTTTGTTAGCCCAGTATCCCAGTCCAGTGTTTCCCTGGGGATCCCCAAACCGCCGTCCTTGGGGGCCCCAAACTTCCTCTCCTTTGGTCTCGTCCCAAATTCCCCAAAGTTTGGCCGGCCTTGCCTCTGCAAGCCTCATTGCTCTGGGGCAGCCTCAGCCCCCAAAGAAGTCACATTGGCCCACCACCTCACTTAGGTCAACCCCCACCGTACTTCAGAAGACCCTGGGCACACCCACAAACCCATCCTGGGACATCCTGTCTTTCTGGGCACACCTTGGACTAGAATTTCTGACTGAGTACACTCAAGTGGTACACATTCCCCCTCCTACCTGGGCAGATCTGACCTTGGATAGAGCTGGCCCCTTCCCATTAATGAAGTTACTAACACAAATAAAGGCACAACCCAATCCCACAGGATTTCTGCCCTCCTTTCTTAACAGGTTATGAGGTACTGCTGCCCTTTCCTCCCTGCTGTCCCGAGGTCCACTTGCATGTCTCCAAGCCAGTCTTGCAAGCAAGCCACCACTCAGAGGCTGAACTTCAGATTTTGGATCTGCAGAATCATTTTCTGCCTAGGAACTACTGCCTGCCCCATCCCAAAGACTTCTGTGTGCCATGCCCTGGCAACTCTAAGGTGCAGAGGGGACATCCCCATTTTAGAAATGAGGGCCTGGGCCTTGGAGAGCGCCTGACCTGCTCAAGGTCTCAAAGAGGAGTGAGTTTCAGCTCGGTTCTCTTTGGTGCCTGCTGCCATGTCATGCACGAAGTCTACCCCTCTCACCCACTGGGAGGGAACTTCACACTGCACATACCCAGCTCAGTTCCCCCAGGTGACAGGGGACCCCAGATGCTCAGGGCCTATAGCTGACTCATCCTTGTAATTCCAGGCCTTAGCACAACACCTGGCACAGAGTAGATGCCAATAAATGCTGGGAGAACCTAAGAGGTCTTCCAAGCCCCAACTTCTCTCTGCATTTCACATAGGAGATTATTTTTAGATAATTTACATTTCCATATATATACACCAACTCCACATTCATTTTCCTCTTTAACCTCCCAAGAGCTCCTTTTGGATACATACTGGCATGCCCACTTTAAAGAGGTGACCACTGGGGCTCCAAGAGGGGAAGCTACTACCCAAAGACCACCAGCCCTGGGGATACAGAGGCTTCTGCATGATTTGGAAGCAGCCATATCTGACTTTTCTAAAGTGCCCCTAGACAGTTATCCTTCCTCTGATTCTCCTCCTGAAAGCAAAGGTGCTCTAGCCTGGTGATGCCAATGACCACTTTTAGCAAGGGTCCCCTGTTGGCCGGGTGGTCAGGTTCCTATTTGAGCCCAGGTCTCTCTGCTCAATTCCAAGACTCACTTCAGTAAACACTAAGCCAGACCACCTGTCCATCTAGTCTGGGTCTTCGCCTTTCAGAACCTAAAATCCTAGTTATTGATCTGGGACTGCATTCTGGTGTGGCAGAAGGTGTATTATGTATAGTAAGAAGAATGTAGGCTTTGGATAGAGTCAAAACAGACTTGGCCTTTAACCCTGATGACTATTTGCCCTGGCATTCTTCATGCTCATGAGTCCCACGTGGCTACTTCCCAAATGAATGAATCCATCAGACCACCTTTTACTGGATGACCTCTGCGAATCACCAAAGCCCAACTTTATCATCTACAAAATAGGGCCGGGGATTTAGCTCAGTGGTTCGGCTGCCTGCCTCAAAAGTGCAAAGCCCTGAGTTCAATCCCCAGCACCAAAAAAAAAAAAAAAAAAAGAAGAAGAAGAAACATCTACAGAATAGGCAGGATGTTGTGGATATAAAGATTCCAGAGGATAATATGTGTGAAAGCATCTGACATATTACAGGTGCCCAATAAATGCCATTTTCTTTTTCCTAGGGCTCCAAAGTATTCAAGGAGTGAGAGGAGCACTGCTGATACTTTTTTATGTTTCATTCATTCAGCAAATGTTTGTTGAATAGCCATTATGCAACAGGTGTAGGGAAATGGTCACAGGACCCAAGGTCTCTGTCCTCCTGGAGCAGGCCAGTGGGTGGGGGAAGATGGCCATTGAACAAAGCTGCTGTTGATCATTACAGTTTGGGGAAGAGCCCATGATGGCAACAGGGATCTGTGATGGCCAATGATGCATGTGAGGGGCTGCTTTCTTAGAGGAATTTGAGGAATGGCATTGGAGCAGTGAATTAAAGGATGGGTGCCAAGGAGCTTGCCATGCTAAGATCTGAACAAAGAACATTTCAGGCAGAGGGAATAGCAAGGGCCAAATCCCTGAGATAGAAAGGTGATGGTGTTTCCCAGAACAAGGGAATATGGTACAAGGCCATGTGGTTAGACAGGAGGGTGGAGAGGGCTTGGGAGTCCACAGGGGAAACTTTGGGTTGCATTTTGGGTGCTGTGGAAGCCACTGGGAGAGACTGAGGAACAGAGAGGAAGTCAGGGGCAGAGGGCAGTTACAGTCGGCAGTGTCTGTGGTCAAAGAGCTTGAGGGCTGAGGCCTGAGTTTCTCCTTCCAGGGTCAGCTTATTCCACACTGGGCACATCCCAGTCTCTTGTCCCCAGAGGTGCCAGAAGGAGTGGAGGAGGCTAAGCAGAAGCTCTGCAGAACACCCTCACTTCTGAGGGGTCAGATTGCCAGACCTTTGCCTTGTCTGTGTCAGTGGCATCCTGCAGGAAGGGTCCTGTCCACAGCAGGGGTTGGGGTGTATGTGGGTGAGGAGAATAATCATGATCCTAGGGCACAGTTGCTGCCCTCTTGTTTCCCTTCCAGACCCTGGCAAAGGGACAAAGTAGGCTGCCCGTGAATGAAAGGCCAATGGATGCCCTGTTGTTTTGTTTTGTTTTCTTTTTTAATTCTTCACCCACATATCCAAGGGAGGCTGGAGTCCAAACCTCTGAAGCTCATGGCCATTTCCAGTGCTCCTGGGAATGTGCTGGGTCACGGAGTCAGCATGCGCAAACTGAGTCTCACAGAAGGGAGCAGGCTCAGAGCCTCCAGGCAGAGCTGGCACCTTTCCTTTGCCTGGCCTGGCCCTGATCACCTGCTTTTTGCTGATTTCTGCCAGGCCAGATGTCTACCACTCAGTGATGAGGTGTCCCTAAGTCTGTCCACAGCACATTCCAGGTCCAGGGTGGAGTGACTCAAGCCCCAGAAACCTTCCACCAAAGGGCTGGGAAGAGTATGGGGGTGGGGAGTCCCATACCAGAGCTGAGTGAGTGGTTTCCAATGCCAGAGCTGATGCCCCTTTCATCAAGGGCTTTCCATCAAACCACCTGCCATTGCCATTGCCGTATCCCAAAGCCCCTCTCCCCACCCGGCCATCAGGCTGCTGTTCTGTGCCTACCTAATCCAGTAAGGCTTCCTGCCCTCTTGGGCTGGTCCTTCACAGACTCCTGGGCTTTCCCCATCCTGTGACTGCACAATTGCAGGCATGGTTGTCTGGTTCCCTGTTCCTACGAGTGCCCAGGTCAAAGGCTGAGGTTTAATAGATAACTATTGAATAAACTGATGAATGAATGAATGAATGAATGAATGGGCTAATTCTCAGAAAGGAAGTGTCAGGTGGGAATCTACAGCATTTACTACCACACTGCTCTGCATGCCCCCAGTCAGGCCATCAACCTTTACTGTGCTCCTCTACCAAGATCTGTCATTGGACATGTGTCTCCCCCATCTCTCCAAGGCTTACTTTTCTGTGCCAGTAAAATGGGGATATTGATAATGATCTCCAACTCAACAAGGCTGTTGTGAGAAAATAAACACTCAATAAACGTCAGCTCCTATTATCATTATGTCTGTCTGCTGGTCATTCAGACATTTGTTCTAGCATCTTCTGCTTCTCAGATGTCACCTTTGGCATGGGAATATAGAATAAACAAGGTGGATGTGGCCCCAGACTTCATGAATCTGGTTGCCTTTTTTTTGTACCGGGGATCGAACTCAGGACCTTGCACTTGCAAGGCAGGCGGTGGAACCAGTGAGCTAAATCCCTGGGTTTTTTTTTTGGCACAGTCTCACGATGCAGTTTAGGTTGGCCTTGAACTCACTATGTAGCTCAGGCTAGCCTCGAACTCATGGTGATCCTCCTGCCTCAGTCTCCCA